CGAAGACCTCCTCGAAGTAGGCGGGCTGGCTGATGAGCAGCAGGTAGAAGGTCCAGCTGCGGCAGAAGTTGGCCACGATGATGGCGTAGACGGGCATGGAGGTGAAGAACTGGCGCCAGGGCGTGGCCAGCTGCGGGCAGGGGGGGACAGCTGACCCCCAGGACACACCCCCAGAGTGACCCCGGCCACCCCCGGCCACCCCTGACCACCTCCAGGACACCCCCAGAGTGACCCCGGCCACCCCCGGCCATCCCTGACCACCCCTGGTCATCTCCAGGACACCCCTGACCATCCCCTGACCACCCCTGGTCATCCCCAGAGTGACCCAGGCCACCCCTGACCATCCCCTGACCACCCCTGACCATCTCCAGGACACCCTCAGGCCACTGCTGACCACCCCTGGCCACCCCTGACCATTCCCAGGCCACCCCTGACCACCCCCAGTGCCCATCCCAGTTCTCCCAGTGCCTCCCAGTGCCCATGACAGCGTTCCCAGTAACCCCTCCCAATGCTCCCAGTCCCTCCCAGTCCATCCCAGTCTGACCAGTAAGGGGTTGCTGCCCACGCTCTCCCCGATGCCCATCCCAATGACCCCTCCCAGTGCTCCCAGTGCTCCCAGTCCCTCCCAGTCCATCCCAGTCTGACCAGTAGCGGGTTGCTGCCCACGCTCTCCCCGATGCCCATCCCAATGACCCCTCCCAGTGCTCCCAGTGCTCCCAGTCCCTCCCAGTCCATCCCAGTCTGACCAGTAGCGGGTTGCTGCCCACGCTCTCCCCGATGCTCTCCTCGATGTATTTCCTCTCCTCGGGGGAGATCGTCGGGTGCTGGGCCGGGCTCTCGTAGGACACCAGCACCCAGAACATGTACCAGAGCACCCCGAAACTGCCTGGGGGTAATGGTCATGCTGGGGATACTGGGAATACTGGGAATGGTCAATGGGGGCAATGGGAATGGTACCAGAGCACCCCGAAACTGCCTGGGGGCAATGTTTATACTGGGGATACTGGGAGCACTGGGAATGGTCAATGGGGGCAATGGGAATGGTACCAGAGCACCCCGAAACTGCCTGGGGGAACTGGGGTTACTGGGGGAACTGGGATGGGCTCCCAGGTGGGATTTAGGAGGGGTCAGGGGGTCCTGGGGGGTCCCGGGATGGGCGGGGGTCCCCGGGTTGGGAGGGTTCTGGGGGTCCCGAGGGGCTCCCAGGGGGTCTCAGGGTTTCTGAGGGGTTTCAGGGGGGGTTTCACGGGGTCCCGGGGTGGGCGGGGGTCCCGGGGGGGCTCTCAGGGGGTTTCAGGGGGGGTCCCAGGGGGGGTCCCGGGGTGGGCAGGGGTCTCACCATAGACGTAGAACACGGAGCTCCAGCCCGTGTACTGCACCAGGACCCCGGCCAGGGGCATGGCCACCACGGCTCCTGCGTATGACCCTGGGGGGGCAGGGGTCAGTGGGGACCCCCAGGGACCCCCCAAACCCCCCCCATGTCCCTGGGACCCCCCCCGGGCCGCCCCCAGCCCCTGGGACCCCCGGCAGGGGCGTGGCCACCACGGCCCCCACGTACGAACCTGGGGGGCTCGGGGGGGTCAGTGGGACCCCAAACCCCCCCGGGACACCCCCTGAGAGCCCCCAGAGCCCCCAAAGCCCCCAGACCCCTCGGTGACGCCCCCGGACCCCTCGGTGACGCCCCCAGACCCCTCGGTGACTCCCCGGACCCCCCATTACCGCAGAAGGCCGTGGTCGCCAGCCGGCTCCGCTCCAGGGGCGGCGCCCACTTGCTCCAGATGCCGTGACAGGCGGGGTAGGTCACGCCCTGCCCGGGAAAAGGGGCGGGGTCAGCGCAGGAGACACCCACGGGACACACCTGACAGTGCAACACCCACCCGGCCACACCTTGATGGGTAGGGACACACCCAACCCTGGCCACGCCCACACAGCCACACCTCGATGAACAGGAACACACCCAACCCTGGCCACGCCCACCCAGCCACACCTTGATGGACAGGGACACACCCAACCCTGGCCATGCCCACACAGCCACGCCCTGATGGGCAGGGACACACCCAACCCTGGCCACGCCCACCCGGCCACACATTGATGAACTGGGACACACCCAACCATGGCCACACCCACCCAGCACACCTTGATGGATAGGGACACACCCAACCATGGCCACGCCCCAACCTCAGTAGCTGAACAGCAAAACCTACCCAAAATACCCCAAAATCACCTTAAAAACATACCAAATGCACCCAAAAAGCCCCGAAATTGCCCCAAAATCCTCTCCTGACCTCGACCAGACCCTGCATGATGCGCACGGCGATGACACAGCCCCGAACGCACCCAAAACCCCCAGAATTCACCCCAAAATCCCCTCGTTACCTCCACCAGGCCCTGCATGACGCGCACAGCGATGACGCAGCCCCAAACACACCCAAAATACCCCAAATTCACCCCAAAATCCCCTCTTTACCTCCACCAGGCCCTGCATGACGCGCACGGCGATGACGCAGCCCCCAACGCACCCAAAATACCCCAAATTCACCCCAAAATCCCCTCGTTACCTCCGCCAGGCCCTGCATGACGCGCACGGCGATGACGCAGCCCCCAACGCACCCAAAATACCCCAAATTCACCCCAAAATCCCCTCGTTACCTCCACCAGGCCCTGCATGACGCGCACGGCGATGACACAGCCCCCAACACACCCAAAACCCCCAGAATTCACCCCAAAATCCCCTCGTTACCTCCACCAGGCCCTGCATGACGCGCACGGCGATGACGCAGCCCACGTGGGTGCGCGCGGCCGACGGGATCAGCATGTTGAGCACCGAGGTGGACACGATGGCCAGGCCGAACACCCTGCGGCAGGGGACGCCCCAGTGACACCTGGGGACACACCTGGCCCCCGGCCCCGCCCCCGGCCCCGCCCCCGGGCGGAGCTCACCTGTTGGCGGCGAATTTCTGGGCGATGAAGCCGCCGGGGATCTGGGTGACGATGTAGCCCCAGAAGAAGGAGCCGTGGATCATCCCCACGGTCTCGGGGTCCCAGTTGAACTGGGCGTGCTGGGGACGGCAGGGAGGGGTCAGCGGGGCGGGGGACACGCCCTGGACACGCCCTGGACAGGTGTGTGTCCCCCGCACCTGGCTGCGTCTTCACAGTAACCCCACACCTGTCCCCACAGGTGACCCCAGAGCTGACCCTACAGGTCACCCCAAATTGACCCCACAACTGGCCCACAACTGACCCCACTGACCACACAACTGACCCCACAGCTGACCCCATACCTGACCCCACACCTGACCCCATAGGTGGCCCAGAGCTGACCCCACAGGTGCCCCCTCACCTGCCTGTGGGCGGGGCTGACCCCACACCTGCACAAGTGCCCCCAGACCTGCCCGTGGGTGGGGTTGACCCCTCACCTGCCCGTGGGCGGGGTTGACCATGCTGACCACGGCCACGCCCAGGTTGCAGCGGATGCCGAAGCTGATGCAGAAGCCGATGCCGCAGAGGATGGCGATGCCGTAGCGCCGGGGCAGCCCGCAGAAGGTGCAGTCCAGCACCGGGGGCCGCGGCGCCGTGGGGGTCCCGCCCGAGAGCCCCCCCGAGCTCAGCTCCAGGCTCTCGGGGTCATCCTGGCGCCGCTCCAGGAACCTGCGCGGCCGTGGCCCCCAGTGTCACCCCCCTGTCCCCAGTGTCCCCCCCACGTCCCTTTCCCCTCCTTGCGTCCCCCATGTGCCCCTCCCTGTGTTCCTATGTCTCTTTCTCCTCTGCCACGTCCCCGTGTCCCCCCTGTGTCTCCCTCGTGTCCCCCATGTGCCCCTCCCTGTGTCACTATATCCCTTTCTCCTCTGCCACGTCCCCCTGTCCCCCCGTGTCCCCCCCGTGTCCCCGTGTCCCCCCCGCCGCCGATTAAATCCCTCTCTAATCCCCGCGGCGACAGCCGGGAGGGGACACGGGGAGGGGCCGGGCTGGGGACACGGGGGGGGACACGGGGACAGGGGAGGGGCCGGGCTGGGGACACGGGGGGGGGGACACGGGGACAGGGGAGGGGCCGGGCTGGGGACACGCGTGGCACGGACACGAGCGGGGGAGGTGACACGGGGGGGGCACCTGAGAGCCCCAAAAAACCCCCACAAAACCCGACCCCAAATCCCCCCCAGCAAAGCCAAGACCCCCCCCAAAACCTGACCCCAAATCCCCCCCGGCAAAGCCAAGACCGCCCCCAAAACCCGACCCCAAATCCCCCCCCGGCAAACCTGACCTCCCCCAAAACCCGACCCCCCAAAACTCCCGGCAAACCCAAGACCCCCAAAATGCCCCCGAACTTGACCACCCCCAAATCTTTCCAGAAAACCTGACCCCCCCAAGCCTCCCCAGGGCTCACCCAGAACCCCCAGCCCCCCTCCCCAGCCCCCCTCCCCAGCCCCCTCCCCAGCCCCATCCCGGGGTCCCCATCTCGGGGGTCTCACAGTGCGGCCGGCCCAGCCTGGCCCCCAGGGACCCCCGCAGACCCCAATGTCCCCAGAGTCCCCCAGCCCCATCCCAGGGGTCTCACTGGTGCAGCCGGCCCAGCCTGGCCCTCAGCCCCTCCTCAAGACCCCCCAGCCCCCCCCAGGACCCCTGCCCAGCCCCATCCCCAGGGTCCCCATCCCGGGGTCCCCATCCCGGGGTCTCACCGGTGCAGCCGGCCCAGCCCGGCCCCCAGCTGCCTCCTGAACTCCTCCTTGTTGAACTCCATCGCTGCCTCAGGGCTCCATCGTCACCGCGGGACCCCCGGGACCCCCCCAGAATCCCCCCCGCCCCCCTGCCCACAGCCCCCCGGGCCCGGCGCCGCTCTCGGGGCCTCTCCAGGGCAGCTCTGGGAGCCCCCCCGGCCCCCCCCGGCCCGGATCAGCCCTAAATCCCCCCAAATCCCCCCCAGCCCCCCCCAAATCCCCCCCCTGCGCCGGGGGGGGGCCACCGGCGGGGGGGGGCGGGGGACACTGACCAATCAGAGCACGGGCTGCGAATTTGGTTTTATTGGGGGGTTTTGTACCAAAAAAAGGGGAAGGGGAGGGGGCTGAAAGGTCAGGAGGGATCTGGGGGGGTCCTGGATAATCCTGGGGGGGTCAGGGGGGTCCTGGAGGGGGTCCCTGAGTGGTTGGGGGGGCTCAGGAGCATCCTGAGAACGGCCCCAAAGAGGTCCAGGGGTCCTGGGGGGATTTTGGGGGTCCTGGGGGGGGTCCAGGAGGGTCCTGGGGGGTCCCAGGTGGGATTTTAGGGGTCCCGGGTGATCCTAGGGGGGTCCTGGGGGGTCCCGGGTGGGTTTTTTGGAGGGTCCCGGGTGGGTTTTTTCGGAGGGTCCCTCACGCCCGCAGCAGCGGCATCGTCACGGTGAGAACCTGCAGGGGGCGTGGCCATGAGTCAGCGGGGGGGCGTGTCCCCGGTAGGAGGGGGCGTATCCCCGGTACAGAAGGGGCGTGTCTCTCCCCGTAGGTTGCCATGGTTACCTTGGAGCGGCGGTGGAAGCGCGCGCGGCACCGCGCGGGGTCGGCGCGCATGCGCAGTGGCAGCCCCAGCTCCAGCAGCGCCCCCTGGCGGCCCGGCGGCCCCTCGGGAGCGGCACCGGCAGCGCCCCCCGGCGGCGGCGCAGGGCGCAGCAGCAGCAGCCGCTCCTCGCTCAGCCCCAGCCACAGAGAGCCCGCCCCCTCCTGGGCGGGGCTAACGTTAGGACACGCCCACTGCGCCCCCGACCCCTCCCCATTGTCCCTCTACCCCCCAAGGATGGTGGAGACCCCTCCCAGCACAGCCCCCCAATGTCCCCCCGTCCACCCCGGTGCCCCCGGTCCCTCCCACTCCCCCCCAGCCCCTCCCATTCCATCCCAGTTTCCCCCCAGTTCTCCCCAGTTCCCTCCCAGTCCCCTCAGTTCCCCCCCAGTCCCTCCCAGTATCCCCAGTTCCCCACTCACCACCTGTTCCAGGTGTACCCGGGCCTGCAGCTCCTGTGGCTCCTGAGCCGAGGGCGAGGCCACGACCACGAACGGGGGGGGCCCGGGGGTTTTTGGGGAGGGGTCCCGGGGGTCCCCCTCACCTCGGCAGCTCCTGGATGCGGGGCCAGGGCCAGGGTCAGCCTGGGGGATTCTGGGTGTGTTTGGGGGTATTTTGGGGGGTTCCAGGGATATTTGGGGAGGGGTCCCAGGGTATTTTGTTTAATCTGGGGAGGGGTCCCCCTCACCCCGGCAGCTCCTGGATGTGGGGCTGGGGCTGGGGTCAGCCTGGGGGAGTCCCAGGCTATTTGGGGAGGGGTCCCAGGGATATTTGGGGAGGGCTCCCAGGAGTCTCGGGGGTGTTTTGGGGAAGGGTCTCACTCACCCCGGCAGCTCCTGGATGCGGGGCTGGGGTCGGGCCCGGATGTTCTGGGCCGCGATGGAGCCGAGGCAGCGCCGGTTCCGCAGCACCCGCCAGCCTGGGGGGATTGGGGAGGGGTCCCGGGGGGTCAGGGGGGATTTTGGGGAGGGGTCCTGCCCCCCCCAGAGCCCCCAGACTCACCTGTAAGCTCCAGCTCCACCCCGTACTTGTCTGAGAGCCCCTCCAGGGCCACGGTCAGGAAGAACTCAAGGTATAGGGGGTCGGCCTGGGAGACCCCAGACCCAATTCACACCCTGAGCGCTCCCCAGGGAAATCCCAGACCCAATTTTACACCGTGACCCACCTAGAAAACTCCCAGACCCCCCGCAGGAAGACCCCAGACCCAATTCCCCCTCCTGACCCACCTGGAGGTACTTGAGACCACCCCCCAGAGCCCCATTTTGCCCCCCAGAAACCCCCAGCCCCACCTGTAGGGTCCGGAAGAAGCCCCACAGCAGCCCCCAGACCCCTATTTAACCCCTTCAATTTCCCCTCCAGTCCCACCTGGAGGGTCCTGAAGAGCCCAGAGTTCACCCCCAGACCCCCATTTAACGCCCCCAGACCCCCATTTAACCCCCCAGCCCCACCTGGAGGGTCCTGAAGAAGCCCGAGTTCACCACCACGTCGTAGGCCGTGCAGCCCCTTCCCCCTGCGGGGTCAGAGCAGGTTTGGGGGAGGGTCCCGGGGGGATCAGGGGGTCCGGGGGTTTTTGGGGAGGGGTCTCTGACCTCGGTCGAGCTCGGCGTGGGGCTCCCCCAGGCTCATGGGGATGCGGAAGGAGCCCCCAGGACCGGGGGGGTCCCGCAGGAGCTGCTGCAGCCCCGGGGGGGGCACGGGGGGCGGGGGGGGCACCTCGGGCGAGTGGCAAACGTTGAGGAACACCTTGGGACCCCCGCCCGCCACGCGGGTCTTGACGCAGAGACCTGGGGGGAAACAGGGGTCAGGGGAACCCCGAGAACCCCCCAAAATGCACCAAAAGCCAACAAAATGCACAAAAATCCAACAGAGCCCCCCGCCCGCCACGCGGGTCTTGACACAGAGACCCGGAGGGGACAGAAATCCAACACAAACCCCCAAAATCCAAAAGAGCCCCCCCAAAATCCACCAAAATCCACCAGAGCCCCCGCAAAATCCACCCGAGCCCCCCGTACCCGGCTGCGGGGTCACGGCCCGGGCGGGGCCGGGGCTCGGCGCCTCCTCAGGGTCCGAGGCCACCTGCGGGAACCGGGGGGAGGGGGTGAGAACCGGGATCGGGATCGAGATCGGAACCGGGATCAGAACCGGCGCCGGCTCCGGGGCCCACCTGCAGCAGCAGCCGCCGCAGAGCCGCCTCCTCCTCCTCGTCCGCCTCCAGCTCGGCCGAGAGCAGCGACGGGTCCGCCATGGCCCTGAGGCAACCGAGAGCTCCGGGAGCCCGCGGGAACCCCCTGGGAGCCCAGAAACCGCTCCGGGCCCCCGCGGGCCGCCCTCACCGCGCCTTCACAAACAGCAACTTCCGCTTCCGGCGCGCACCCGTCTCCATGGTTACCGAGGCTGCTCTAGCCACTTCCGCCCAGTCTCGGTGGTTCCGGCGCGGCTCTAACAGTTTCCGGTAAATTTTGGTGGTTCCGGCGCCGCTCTAGCCACTTCCGCTCAATCTCGGTGGGTCCGGCGCCGCTCTGGCCATTTCCGGTTAATCTCGGTGGTTCCGGTGCCGCTCTGGCCATTTCCGGTTAATCTCAGTGGTTCCGGCGCCGCTCTACCCACTTCCGCTAAATCTCGGTGGTTCCGGCGCCGCTCTGGCCATACCCGGTAAATCTCGGTTGTTCCGGCGCCGCTCTAGCCATTTCCGCTCAATCTCTGTGGTTCCGGCGCCGCTCTGGCCATTTCCGCTAAATCTCGGTAGTTCTGGCGCCGCTCTGGCCTTTTCCGGTCAATGTCACTGGTTCCGGCGCCGCTCTAGCCGCTTCCGCTTGATCTCGGTTGTTCCAGCGCCGCTCTGGCCACTTCTGCCCCGACTCGGTGGTTACCGAGGCTGCTCTAGCCACGTCCGAACACTTTCGGTGGTTCCAGCGCCGCTCTGGCCATTTCCGGTCAATCTCGGCGGTTCCGGTGCCGCTCTGGCCATATCCGTTAAATCTCAGTGGTTCCGGTGCCGTTCTAGCCACTTCCGCAAAATCTCGGTGGTTCCGGTGCCGCTCTGGCCATTTCCGGTCAATCTCGGTGGTTCCGGCGCCGCTCTGGCCATATCCGTTAAATCTCAGTGGTTCCGGTGCCGTTCTAGCCACTTCCGCAAAATCTCGGTGGTTCCGGTGCCGCTCTGGCCATTTCCGGTCAATCTCAGTGGTTCCGGCGCCGCTCTGGCCATATCCGTTAAATCTCAGAAGTTCCGGTGCCGTTCTAGCCACTTCCGCTAAATCTCGGTGGTTCCGGTGCCGCTCTGGATATTTCCGGTCAATCTCAGTGGTTCCGGTGCCGCTCTGACCATATCCGGTCAATCTCGGTTGTTCCGGCGCCGCTCTAGCCACTTCCGCTAAATGTCGGTGGTTCCGGCGCCACTCTGGACATTTCCGGTCAATCTCGGTGGTTCCGGCGCCGCTCTGGCTGCTTCCGCTTGATCTCGGTTGTTCCAGCGCCGCTCTGGCCACTTCTGCCCCGACTCGGTGGTTACCGAGAAAGCTGTAGCCACGTCTGCACAGTGTCGGTGGTTCCGGTACCGCTCTGGCCATATCCGGGCAATCTCGGTTGTTCCGGCGCCGCTCTGACCATTTCCGGTCAATCTCGGTGGTTCCGGTTCCGCTCTGGCCAATTCCGGTCAATCTCGATTGTTCCGGCGCCGCTCTGGCCATTTCCGGTCATTCTCGGTGGTTCCGGTGCCGCTCTGGCCTCATCCGGTAAATCTCGGTTTTTTTTTCCGGTGCTGCTCTGGCCACTTCCGCCCAATCTCGGTGGTTCCGGCGTTGCTCTAGCCACTTCCGCCCAATCTCGGTGATTCCGGCGCCGCTCTGGCAATTTCCGCTTGATCTCGGTTGTTCCGGCGCCGCTCTGGCCTTTTCTGCCCCGACTCGGTGGTTACGGAAGCTGCTCTAGCCACGTCTGCACAGTTTCGGTGGTTCCGGCGCCGCTCTGGCCGTTTCCGGTAAATTTTGGTGGTTCCAGCGCCGCTCTAGCCACTTCCGCTCAATCTCGGTTGTTCCGGCGCCACTCTGGCCTTTTCCGGTAAATCTCGGTGGTTCCGGCGCTGCTCTGGCCAATTCCGGTCAATCTCGGTGATTCCGGTGCCGCTCTGGCCATATCCGGTAAATCTCAGCTGTTCCGGCGCCGTTCTGGCCATTTCCGGTCAATCTCAGTGGTTCCGGCGCCGCTCTGGCCATTTCCGGTCATTCTCGGTGGTTCCGGTGCCGCTCTGGCCACTTCCGGTCGATTTCAGTGGTTCCGGCGCCGCTCTGGCCATTTCCGCCCAATCTCAGTCTTCCGGCGCCGCTCTGGCCATTTCCGTTTAAACTCGGTAGTTCCGGTGCCGCTCTGGCCATATCCGGTAAATCTCAGTTGTTCCGGCGCCACTCTGGCCATTTCCGGTCAATCTCGGTGGTTCCGGTGCCGCTCTGGCCATATCCGGTAAATCTCGGTTTTTTTTTCCGGTGCTGCTCTAGCCACTTCCGCTAAATCTCGGTGGTTCTGGTGCCGCTCTGGCTATATCCGGTAAATCTCAGTGGTTCCGGCGCCGCTCTGGCTGCTTCCGGTTAATCTCGGTGGTTCCGGTGCCGCTCTGGCCACTTCCGGTCGATTTCAGTGGTTCCGGCGCCGCTCTGTCCACTTCCGGTCAATCTCAGTGGTTCCGGCGCCGCTCTGGCCATTTCCGGTCAAACTCGGTGGTTCCGGTGCCGCTCTGGCCACTTCCGGTAAATTTCGGTTGTTCCGGCGCCGCTCTGGCCATTTCTGGTCAATCTCGGTAGTTCCGGTGCCGCTCTGGCCATATCCGGTAAATCTCGGTTTTTTTCCGGTGCTGCTCTAGCCACTTCCGCTAAATCTCGGTGGTTCCGGTGCCGCTCTGGCCATATCCGGTAAATCGCGGTTTTTTTCCGGTGCTGCTCTAGCCACTTCCGCTAAATCTCGGTGGTTCCGGTGCCGCTCTGGCCATATCCGGTCAATCTCAGTTGTTCCGGTGCCGTTCTGGCCATTTCCGGTCATTCTCGGTGGTTCCGGTGCCGCTCTGGCCATATCCGGTAAATCTCAGTGGTTCCGGCGCCGCTCTGGCTGCTTCCGGTTAATCTCGGTGGTTCCGGTGCCGCTCTGGCCACTTCCGGTCGATTTCAGTTGTTCCGGCGCCGCTCTGGCCATTTCCGGTCAATCTCAGTGGTTCCGGTGCCGCTCTGGCCATTTCCGGTCAAACTCGGTGGTTCCGGTGCCGCTCTGGCCACTTCCGGTAAATTTCGGTTGTTCCGGCGCCGCTCTGGCCATTTCCGGTCAATCTCGGTAGTTCCGGTGCCGCTCTGGCCATATCCGGTCAATCTCAGTTGTTCCGGTGCCGTTCTGGCCATTTCCGGTCATTCTCGGTGGTTCCGGTGCCGCTCTGGCCATATCCGGTAAATCTCAGTGGTTCCGGCGCCGCTCTGGCTGCTTCCGGTTAATCTCGGTGGTTCCGGTGCCGCTCTGGCCACTTCCGGTCGATTTCAGTGGTTCCGGCGCCGCTCTGGCCATTTCCGGTCAATCTCAGTGGTTCCGGCGCCGCTCTGGCCATTTCCGGTCAATCTCGGTAGTTCCGGTGCCGCTCTGGCCATTTCCGGTAAATTTCGGTGGTTCCGGTGCCGCTCTGGCCATTTCCGGTCAAACTCGGTGATTCCGGTTCCGCTCTGGCCATTTCCGGTCAATCTCGGTTGTTACGGAAGCCGCTCTGACCATATCCGGTAAATCTCGGTGGTTCCGGCGCCGCTCTAGCCATTTCCGGTCAATCTCGGTTGTTCCGGTGCCGCTCTGGCCACATCCGGTAAATCTCGGTTTTTTTTTCCGGTGCTGCTCTAGCCACTTCCGCTAAATCTCGGTGGTTCCGGCGCCGCTCTGGCCATTTCCGGTCAATCTTGGTGGTTCCGGTGCCGCTCTGGCCATATCCGGTATTTCGGTGGTTCCGCGCGCCGCTCTAGCCGCTTCCGCTTGATCTCGGTTGTTCCAGCGCCGCTCTGGCCACTTCTGCCCCGACTCGGTGGTTACCGAGGCTGCTCTAGCCACATCCGCAGAGAATCGGTGGTTCCGGCGCCGCTCTGGCCATTTCCAGTCAATTTTGGTGGTTCCGGCGCCGTTCTAGCCTTTTCCGCTCAATCTCCGTTGTTCCGGCGCCGCTCTGGCCATTTCCGGTCAATCTCGGTTTTTCCGTTGCCGCTCTGGCCATATCCGGTCAATCTCGGTGATTCCGGTGCCGCTCTGGCCATTTCCGGTCAATCTCGGTGGTTACGGAAGCCGCTCTGACCATATCCGGTAAATCTCCCTGGTTCCGGCGCCGCTCTAGCCATTTCCGCTTTATCTCGGTGGTTCTTGCGCCGCTCTGGCCATTTCCGGTCAAACTCGGTGGTTTCCGGCGTCGCTCTGGCCATTTCCGGTCAATCTCGGCTGTTCCGGCGCCGCTCTGGCCATTTCCGGTCAATCTCGGTGTTCCGGCGCCGCTCTGGCCATTTCCGGTCAATCTCAGTGGTTCCGGCGCCGCTCTGGCCCGTCCTGCCCGTCTCGGTGGTTTTCGGGGCCGCTCTGGCCCGCCCCGCCTGTCTCGGTGGTGTCCCGGCGGTGATGGCGGCTCTGGCGGCCCTCGGGGCTCCCCCGGTCCCCGAAATCTTCGCCACCATGGAGGAGGGGCCGATCCCCGGCAGGTCCAACCCGGGCGAGGTGAGGGGGTCCCTCGGGGTCCCCCTGGGTGGGTCCTGGGTTGGCTCTTGGGGGGTTCATGGAGTCCGGAGGGGCTCGGGGGGTCCTGGGAGGTCCCTCCGAATCTGAGGGGGGTCTTGGGGGGCTCTTGGGAGCCTCCTCAGGAACTGGGAGGGGTCTGGGGCGGGGGGTCCCGAGGGAAATAATGGGGCAGGGGGAGGCACCAGGGGGGGAATTGGGGTGGGTTTGTGGGGTCCCGTGAGGATGGGGGGGTTCTGGTGGGTCCTGGAGGGTCCCAGATGGGTCCTGGGGGCGTCCATGAGGGTCCTGGGGGCGTCCCATGGGGGGAGCCCATGGGGAACCCGGGGTTCTGTGGGGTGCGTCGGGGTCAAAGTCTCCCCGTGGGCCCAAGGTCGTTTGGGGGATGGGGGAGGGCTGGGCTGGGGCTGGGGGTCCCAGAGGGGTCCCAGAGGGGTCCTGGGGGATCCTGGGGGTCCCGGGGGTCCCATTGTGTCTCCCCCTGCCCCCCAGGCGTGGCTGGAGTCCCACGGGCGCAGCCTCGGACACTTCGTGAACGGGACCTGGCTGAGACCGGAGGGGAGGGAGAGCCTCGAGTGCCACGAGGCCACCACGGGTACGGGACACACAGGGGACACTGAGGGACAGGGATCACCGAGGGGACACACAGGGGACAGGGACAGGGAGATCATCGAGTGCCACAAGGCTACCACAGGTACGGGACACACAGGGGAAACTGAGAGGTCACACAGGGGACAGGGACGGGGACACTGAAGGACAGGGACAGGGAGAGACTTGAGTGCCACGAGGCTACCACAGGTATGGGGGGGGACAGGGACACTGAGGGGACACCGAGGGGACAGGGACAGGGATTGGGGTCAAGTGTCCAGGTCACAGATTTGGGGTCACTGGTGCAGACCAGGGTCAGGGGTCAGGGATTGGGGCAAGGTCGTGGAGCTGGAGTTGGGGTTTGGGGTTGGGCTTTGGGGTCAGAGCTCAGTGGTCAGTGTCCAGCGGTCAGCGGTCAGTGTCCATCCCCTGTTGTGTCCCCAGGCCAGGCGGTGGCCGCGGTGCCGGCCAGGGCCAGCTCGGGGTTTGGATCAGGGTTTAGGGTCAGCGGTCAGTGTCCATCCCCTGTTGTGTCCCCAGGCCGGACGGTGGCTGGGGCCAGCTCGGGGTTTGGATCAGGGTTTGGGGTCAGTGATCAGTGTCCATCCCCTGTTGTGTCCCCAGGCCGGACGGTGGCTGGGGACAGCTCGGGGTTTGGATCAGGGTTTGGGGTCGGTGATCAGTGTCCATCCCCTGTTGTGTCCCCAGGCCGGACGGTGGCCACGGTGCCGGCCGGGGACAGCTCGGACGTGGCCGTGGCCGTGGCAGCGGCGGCAGCAGCGGCTGAAGCCTGGGCGGGGCTGGGGGGGCCCCAGCGGGGGCAGCACCTGGCCAGGTGAGTGACCTCTGACCCCGGGTGACCCTGGGTGACCCCAGGTGACCCCATTGTCCCCTCTATCTCCCCAGGCTGGCCGCCACACTCGAGGGTGACCCCGGGGTGGCCCTGGGGGCGCTGCTGGCCCTGGGCGGGGGGCGCCCCCTGTGCCGGACCCTTGGGGCTGAGCTGGAGCTGGGGCTGCGGCCACTGCGGGGGCTGGAGCTGCCCGAGGGGGGGTGGCGCCCCCTGGGTGAGTGCCATTGTCCCCAAAGGGTCCCCAAGGTGTCCCCTGACACCCCCTGGGTGAGTGTCATTGTCCCCAAGGGTCTTCCCTGAGTGAGTGCCACTGTCACCAAAGGGTCCCCAAGGTGTCCCGTGGGTGGGTGTCACTGTCCCCACGGTGTCCCCTGTCCCCTCTGGGTGTCCCCTGACCCCTGTGTGTCCCCAGGGGTGGTGGCCCTGGTTCTGGCCAGTCCCTGCTTGCTGTGCCCGTGGTGTCACTGTCCCCTGGGTGTCCCCATGGTGTCCCCATGGTGTCCCTGTCTGTCCCCTCAGGGGTGGTGGCCCTGGTCCTGGTGGGTCCCTGCTCGCTGCCGGAGCTGCTCTGGAAACTGGGGCCACTCCTGGCCATGGGTGAGTGCAGGGAGGGATAAATGGGGACAAATGGGGACCCTAGGGACAGCTGTTTTGGGGTGTCCTTGGGGGGGTGTCCCTTTTGGGGTCCCATAGTTTCTGGGGTGTCCCTGCGGGGACTCCCAGCAGTTTTGGGGTGTCCCAATGTCCCTTCTTTTTGGGGGCCCCATCCCTTTCAGGGTGCCCCTGGCGGGGCCCCAGTGTCCTTTTTTGGGGTCCCAGCCCTGTTGGGGTCCCAGCCCCTGTTGGGGTCCCAGCCCTGTTGGGGTCCCACAGTTCTGGTGCCCCCCCCAGGGAACGCGGCCGTGCTCGTGGCCCCCCCGGCGGCGGCGCTGCCGCTGCTGCTGCTGGCGGAGCTGGGCGGGGAGGGGGCGGCGCTGCCCCCGGGGGTCCTGAACGTCCTGGCGGGACCCCCGGGACTGCCCCGGGCCCTGCGCGACCACCCCGGGATCAGAGCGGTCACCTGGATGGGGGCGGCGGCGCAGGTACGGGGGACACGCCCAGGGGAGGGGCCAATAACGGGGGAGGGGCCAATAACGGGGGAAGGGACATACCCGGGGAAGGGCCAAATAAAGGAGGAGGGGACACGCCCAGAGGAGGGGACAACAACAATGGGACAACCCCCCCAATGCGGGGTCCCTGTCTCTGTCCCTGTCCCCAGGAGGATCCGCGGTGCCACCTTTGGGGGTCCCCACGTCCCTGTCCCCACGCCCTGTCCCTGTCCCCAGGACAATCTGCGGTGGCAGCTCTGGGGATCCCTGTCTCCACGTCCCTTTTCCTGTCCCCATGAGCTGTCCCCATGTCCCCGTCCCTGTCCCCAGGACGATCTCCGGTGCCACTTCTGGGGGTCCCCGTGCCCTGTCCCCTGTCTCCTGTCCCTGTCCCCATGAGCTGTCCCCATGTCCCTCTCCCTGTCCCCATGAGCTGTCCCTGTTGCTGTCCCCATGAGCTGTCCCCATGTCCCTCTCCCTGTCCCCATGAGCTGTCCCTGTTGCTGTCCCCATGAGCTGTCCCCATGTCCCTCTCCCTGTCCCCATGAGCTGTCCCTGTTGCTGTCCCCATGAGCTGTCCCCGTGTCCCTGTGTCCCCCATCCCCAGGACGATCTCCGGTGCCACCTCTGGGGGTCCCCGCTGCGGGGGCCGCGCCTGGGGGGGGGTCCCCGGGGGGGCCGTGTCGTTGTCATCGTCCTGGACTCGGCCGACCTGGACAGCGCCGCCGCCGCCGCCGCCGCCACGGTGGGGCTGGGGGCCTCGGGGAGGGGTTTGGGGGGGTTTGGGGTTTTTTTGGGGGGGCTTTTGTGGGGGATTTGGGGGGATTTTTTGGGGGGGAGATTTTAGGGGGTTTTGGGGGTTTTTTGGGGGATTTTGGGGTTCTTCAGGTTTTTTTTGGGGTTTTTTTTTTGGAAGGTTTTAGGGGATTTTTGGGGTTTTTTTGGGGATTTGGTGGTTTCTTAGGAGTTTTTTTGGCTTTTCTTGGGGGAGGTTTCAGGGGGTTTTTGGATTTTTTGGGAGGGTTCGTGGGGGTTTCGGTGGTTTCTCAGGTTTTTCAGGATGTTTTTTGGGGAGGCCTTTTGGGGACGTTTCAGAGGGTTTCTGTAGTTTTTATGGGTTTTTTTTGGTTGGGTTTTTGGGGGGGTTTGGTGATTGTAGGGGGTTTTCTTTGAGGGGATTTTCGGGGAGGTTTCAGGGAGCTTTTGAGGTTTTTTGGGGTTTTTTTTGGCAGGTTTTGGGGTATTTTTCAGGAGTCATTTGGGTTTCTTTTGGGGTTTTTGTGGGGGATTTTCAGGGGGTTTTTGGGGAGGATTTTCAGGAGGTGTTTGGGTTTCTTTTGGGGCTTTTGTGGGGGTTTTTCAGGGGTTTTTGTGGAGGCTTTTCAGGAGGCATTTGGGTTTTTTGGGGTCGGTTTGGCGTTTCCCAGGCCTGTCCCTGATGCTGTCCCCTGCTGTCCCCAGCTGCCCAGGGGGGGCTGCGTGCTCCTGGCCCAGGACTCGGTGGCGGCGCCGCTGGAGCAGCGGCTCCGGGCCCGGCTCGGGCAGCTGCGCCTGGGGGACCCCACGGACCCCAGGACCGAGGTGGGGCCGCTGCCCCCAGAGACCCCCCTGCCCGAGGAGCTGCTGTGGGAGGCGCGCGAGGAGGGGGCGCAGGTGACACAGGGGGACACGGGGGGTGGCGCTGAGGGGCCGCGAGGTGGGGAGGGGGACGCGGGGTTTGGGGTGTAGGGGGGTTTGGGGGTTCCTGGATATTGGGGTGGGCTGGGGAGGGGAGTTTGGGATGTTTTCTGGGGGAAATTTGGAGCTTTTGGACACCAGGGTTCCTGTTGGGTGGGGGGGAGTTTGAGGTGTTTTCTGGGGAGAAATTTGGAGGTTCCTGAGGTTTGGGGAGGTCCAGGGGTTCCTGAACGTTGTGGGTCCCTTCAGGGCTGCCCTGGGTGTCACTCCCGGTGTCCCTCCCTCATTGGGACCCTTTTTTTTTTTCCCCCAGGTTTTCCAGGTTCCTCTGCCGCCACTGCCGGGGAGGGGGCAGCGTTTCTACCCCCCCCACGCTGATCTCGGGGGTGGCCCCGACCTCGCGGTGCCTGCGGGAGCCGGTGGGTGCCCCTGGGTGCCCCTGGGGGGGTCGCGGGTGCCTTTGGGGACCCTCTGAGCGCCCCCTGCCCCCCCAGGTCCCGGGGCCGGTGCTGGTGCTGCTGCCCGTGCGTGGCCCCTCCGAGGCCGTGGCCGTGGCCTCGGCGCTGCCCCACGCCGCTGCTGCTGCCCTCTGGGCCCAGGACATCACCGTGGCCTTGGACACGGCGGACAGGTGACCACCGCCACCCCCTGACCCCGAGGGCAGGAGTGACCGCCACCCCCCGAGCCCGGGGGGACAGGTGACCACCACCACCGCCACCCCCTGACCCTGAGGCCAGGCCAGGAGTGACCGAGGTCACTGAGCGCTGACCCCTCCGCAGGCTGCCCCAGGGGCTGGTGTCCCTCAACTCCCTGGACCTGCTGGACCCCAGCACCGGGGGCACCGACCTGGATGAGGTGGGGGGAGCCAAGGAGGGGCTCTGGGGGGGGTTTGGGAGGGGTCCAGGGGGGTTTGGGGGGTCCTGGAGAAGCCGGAGGGACGTGGAGGTGTCCTGGGGAGACTGGGGCGGGTTTTTGGGGGTCCCCAGGGTGGGGGGGGAGGGGGTTCTGTGCCGTTGCAGATGGGCTCTGCCCCCCCGCACTCCCTCCAGGCACTGCGAGAATTTGGGTGCCCCCCCCTGGGAACAGCCCCCCGAGGTGGAGGAGCCGCTCAGGTACCCCCTGATGGGACAGGGACCCCTCCCCAGGATGGAGACCCCAAACTGGGGGTGGGTCCCAGGACAAGAACAGCAAGACTGGGACTGGTTTAGCACCCCAGGATCCCCTTCCTCCCCCCCGGGGTGGTCCCAGCCCCATCCTGCCCCCCCAGAGGGTCCCGTGTGCTCCTCAGGACCCCCCCGATTGTTCCTCTCGCGGGGGTCCTGGTGCCCCCGATGCCCCTCCCACGGCCATGCCCTTTGACCCCTGTGTCCTTTGTCCTCTGTCCCCTCCCAGCCCCTCGGTGACCCTGGATGACCCCGGTGATCCTGAGCTGGCCCAGGCCATGGCCACCGCCCGCGGGGCCGCCTCAGGGTGAGTGCGGGGGTGGGGGGGTGACCCCCCGAGGGGTGTCCCCGACCCCCCAGGGGTGTCCCTAACCCCCCCAGGGGTGTCCCCGACCCTCCCAGGGCTGCCCCCGACCCTCCCAGGGCTGTCCCCGACCTCGGGACCCCTCGGGGAGGGGGGCTCGGTCCCCGACGCCCTCCCTTCCCGCAGGTGGGGGCGGCTGCCGGGGGCGTCGCGGGCCCGGGTGCTGCGGGGGGCGGCGGCGGCGCTGCCGGGGGGTCCCGGGACCCCTGAGGACGGAGACCGCAGCGACACCGGCGGGAGCCTGCGGGGGGCGCTGCTGCGCTGGGCGGAGCGAGCGGAGCGCGCGGGCGGGACCGTGCAGGTGGGCGTGGTTAAAGGGGGTGGGGCAGAAAGGAGGCGTGTGTCTGTTCGGTGAGTGGGCGCGGCCTTTGATCGGGCGTGACCAATTCTGCTGCAGGAGATGCCCGGGGGGCGGGCCCTGCTGACAAGGCGGCCGCTGGGAGTGCTGGGCGTGGCCTGGGGCTGGCCACGCCTCTTGGCGCTGGAGCTCCTCCTCCCGGCGCTGGCGCTCGGGAACGCGGTCGTGGTGGTGGCGCCCTCTGGCGGCGCCGGTGCCGCACAGCGACTGCGGAAGGTGCGGAACCGGGACACCCCCGTGCCCCCCCGGGGGACTCCCGTGATGCCCCCTGACCCTCGGGTGACCCCCATGTCCCCCCTGCGACCCCCGGGAGCTCCCCTGTGTCCCCCATGCCCCTCCCCTGTGCCCCATCGCGTGCCCCCCCGAACCCCTCCGGGACCCCCCCGTGCCTCCCCGGGGACACCCATGATGCCCCCTGACCCCCGGGTGTCCCCCCATGTCCCCCTCCGGACCCCGCATTTGCCTCCCCAGGACCTCCCCTGTGCCCCCTGCTCCCCATCACATTCCCCCCCGAACCCTTCCGGGACACCCCCCCCCGTCCCCTTCCATCACCCGGGACCCCCCCCCCCCGGTGACGCTACGCCCCCTCCCCTGTGTCCCCAGGCTCTGGTGGCCGCGGGGCTGCCGGCGGGGGCCCTGACGGTGCTGCCCGGGGCTTCCCGGGGCAGCGGATCTCGCCTGGCGCGGCAGCGCCCGGACGGGCTGTGGCTGTGCGGGGGGGACGCGGTGAGTGCGGGGGCGGTGCGGGACATTTGGGGGGGGGAACAATGTGGGGACACGGGGAAGGGAACAGCGGAGGGGACGCGGGGGAAGGGGCGTGGGCACTGGGCTGTGACGCTTTGGGGGTCCCGAGTCGTGGGGCGGCTGCTGTGGGGGGGTTTGGGGTGGGGGGGCACAGCCCCCGGCTGTCCCCAGCTGTCATCTCTCATGTCCCCCCCCCGCCCAGGACTGCGACTGGGCCTCTGCCGTGAGCGTCCCCCGCGTCTGGGGGGTCCCGGCGGGACTCCTGGGGGCTCCGGGGCAGGAGCTCCCCCCCGGCGCCGAGCGGGAGCTGGAGCTGCGCTGCACCCGCCCCCGCTGCCTTTGGCTGCCAGGAGGCGCCCCCTGAGACCCCCCCCAAATCTGCGGGGAGTTCGGACCTCGCCCTGTGCCTCCCCAGCCCCGCCCCTCGGGACCCCCGCCCCAATAAAGCGCTCCGAGCCGCAGCCGCTGTCCTGTCCTTGGGGGGGACCGGGAGGTCTCGGGCTGCAGTGCGGGGGGAACATTTTGCGGGGGGACAATTTGGGGGGGGACAATTTGGGGGGGACATTTTGGGGGCGCCCCGCCCCTGCACGTGCCCGGACGCCCCGGCCTCCCTCCCTCGCTCGGGGCAGCCGCACCCAAAGCTCTGCTGGGCCGGGCGGGGGTCCCGAGCGCCGGAGCCCCCGCGGGGTTGGGGAGGAGTCCCCGGGGTGAGGAGGGGGCGCTCGGGGCTCCGCGCGCTGGGTGCGAGGGGGCGGCTCGGCGCGTCCCGCTGCCCTCTCGGGTTTCCTGGGCCCCCTCCCGGCCCGCTCCCACTTTCGCTTTCGGCGGCGGCTCCGCCGCGGCCCGAGGGGTCCCGAGGGGGTCCCGGGGTGGTCCCGAGGGGGTCCCGGGGGGGCTCCGGGAGCGCTCGCGGGTCCCCGTGCGCCGTCTCCTGCTCGGCACCGCCATGGACGTGTCCCCCCCTTGCTCCGCTCTGGTAAGTGGGGAACCCCCGCACCCCCCCCCCCCCCCCCCCCGAGAGCCCCTCCGGGACCCCCGCGAGAGCCCCCCGGTGCCCCCCCCTCCCAGGTGCCGCCGCTCCTGCTGCTCCTGGCCCTGCCCGCCCTCGGCAGCTGCTGCTCCTTCGGCTTTAACCCCATCAGCAGCACCTTCAGCGCTCACCTGAACAACCTGGTGAGACCCCCGCCCCCAGGACCGATCCCCCCGGGACCCCCCCAAACTCCCTCATTCCCCAGGGAATGGTCCCGAAAACCCCCTGACTGCGCCCCTTCACCCCCAAAGGGTCGCTGGGGACCCCCTGAGCGCCCCCCCTCAGCCCTCCGGGCTGCTTTTGGGGACCCCCTGACCCCTCCCACAGACCCCCTGGCTGCTCCTTGACTACCCCGTGGCGATGCCCAGCAACCTGGAGCTGGTGAGCGAGACCTCCCCCCAATCCCACGTGTGCCCCCCCACCCCCAAATCCCTCCCTGTTCCTGCCCCCCCTGAGACCCCTGACCCCCCAAATCCCGACCTGCCCTGGCTGCCCCAGGACAGCGCCTGCTCTGATCTCTGGGGGCTTCACTTCGGGGCGCTGGCTCTGCAGCGGATGCTGGGGGTGGCTGGCAAGGATTTGGCTCCCCTGCTCAGGACCCTCCTCGCCCAGCTCCACTTTGTCACTGAGTGTCACATCCAGGTGGGTGGGGGTCCCCGGGGGGGCTCCGGGTGGTCTTGGGGAGGCCAAGGTGAGTCTGGGGGTCTTGGGGGGCTCTGGGGGTCCCCTGAGGTGTCCAGGGTAACTCTGGCGGTCTTGGGGGGCTCTGGGGTCCCCACAGGGGTCTGGGGGTTCCCTGAGGTGTCCAGGGTTACTCTGAGGGTCTTGGGGGGTCTGGGGGTTCCCTGAGGTGTCTCGGGGAGGGGGTGCAGGAGCTCTGGGGCATTTCTGGCATATCCCAGGGTGGTTCAGAAGGGGTCTGGGGTCCCCCGGGGGGGGCTCCTGTGCCATCTCCCCAGGACCCCCAGGGCTGTGTCCAGCTGGAGAGGGTGAACGTGTCGCAGCTACTGGAGACCCTGGCGCAGCACCTGGGGGGGCTGCAAGGGAGACCCCTCCACTTCCCTGGCTGTGCCCACTTGCGCTGCCGCCCAGGTACCCCCCGGGACCCCCGGGAGACCCCCGTAACCCCCCTGGGCAGCTGCTGACCCCCGTCTCCCCCCAGACCCGGCGCTGAGCAGCCCCGCCGAGCGGCATGAGCGGCACGAGGGGACCCTGGGGGCCAGGCAGGGCCCCCCCAGCCCCACTGGACACGGGCTGCTGCTGCTGGGGGGACTTGGGGGGGCCCTGGGCCTGGTGGCGGCGGCCTGGGCACTGTGGAGGAAACCCTGTGCCCAGGTGGGGATACTGGGGGGCACTGGAGAGGGTGGCGAGAGCGTGAGGGGTGCTGTGTGTGTTGGGGACACTGGGGACATGGGGGATGCTGGCTGTCCTGGGGACGCTGGGAGCACTGGGGGCTCTCTTGGGGTCACTGGGAGCGCTGGGAGGCACTGGGAGGTCATTCCCCTCAGCACCCCCCAGCCCTCACAGGGACCCCCGAGACTGGAGCAGGACGGGACCTGAGTGGCCGAGCGGTACCTGGGGACAGACACAGGTACTGGGAGGGCTCCTGCATACTGGGATCACTGGGAATGTCCTGAGGACCATCAGGCCCTCACCCTGTGCCACTGGTGAGAGTCGGGGCCCCCCCAGCTCCCTGCTGGAAGCCCCTGGGGGCTACACCGGGATCTCCAGAGCCGTGGAGAGACCCACGGAGGGGGCCCGGCCTGGCCCCGTGCGGCGCCCATAAAGCTGATCCTGACACCCCGGCTCTGATCCTGCTTGAGTGCACTGGGAGGACTGGGACGAGGGTTTGGGGGAACTGGTACAGACTGGGGCGGACACAGCACTGCCCAAACGGCCTTTACTGGGGGTCTCACAGGGGCGGGGGGCTCCGGTGGCGCAGCTGGGGCTGGGGCAGCTGGCGGGGCAAGAGGTAGAGCAGGGCCAGCAGGGCCAGCAGCGCCAGAGCCCACGGTGACAGCAGCGGCGTCCACAGTGACAGCGGCGCCTGGGGGGCCACCGCCTTGGCCACCTCCTCGGGGCTGCCCTCCAGGTCTCCTCCTCCTGTCCCTGCGTCCTCCTCCTTGTCCTCCTCCTTGTCCCCTGTGCCCTAGGCAGATCCTCGGGGTCAGTCAGTGCTGGGGTGGCCCTGCAGGGTCCCCCCTGAGCCCACCCTTACCGGGCTCGCCGTGGCTGTGGCCTGGAGCTCCAGCTGGCCGCGTGGGCACCACGGGCGCCTGTGGGAGGAGGAGGAGGGTGAGGATGCAGAGATGAAGGCTCCCGAGGACATTCCCCACCCACGTGTCCCCCCCTACATGGCCCAGGCGTCCCGCATCTGGCCCAGCTGCTGCCGCAGCCGCGTCGTCTCCAGGCGCAGTTCCTGCCGGGGAGAAGGGGATGTCACCCTCGGTCCTTGACCCCCACACAGAGAGTGGCCGCTGTGGGGCTCTGCTGTGGCCACCCAGGGGCTCTGCTGTGGCCACTGTCTGGGCCCACACGGAGGGCAGGTGTGCTGTACCTGCACCATCCGCTCGTACTCCTCCAGTGCTGCTGTCAGCTCCTGAGCCCTCTGCCCTGCCTGTGGGACAGGGCCTGGACGTGAGGGGCCATGGGACAGGGCCGGGGGTGGCCCTGGTGACAGCTGAGGTGGTGGCAGTGTCACTGGGCAGCGCTCACCTGGGCAAGGGCTGCGTCCCGTGCAGAGAGCAGGGCAGTTCCACGGCAGAGCTGGGCCTGGGCAGAGGGACAGGGACAGGGACTCAGCACTGTCACTGTCACTGTCCAACACAGCCCCCAGCACCATGGCCACCGTGCTCACCTCCAGGCTGGCCACGCGAGCCGCCTGTGCCTGGAGCTGCTCCCGCAGTCCCTGGCCCTCGGCGAGGAGCCGCTGGTTCTGCCAGGGGTGAAACAGGGCTGGGGTTCCCTGTGGCACTGCCCCACTGGGGCAGCCCTCAGCACCAGGCTGACCTCCTCCTGCAGGCCCTCGGCCCGCGAGCACAGGCTACGCTGCTCCTTCTCCTGGGGAGGGAGGGAGGGCACGGCCATGAGGGGACACCGTGTGACAGCGTGGCACCATGTGGCACCTCAGCTCAGTCTCTCACCGTGTGCCGTGCCTGCCGCCGCAGCTCGGTGTTCTCCTCCTCCAGCCGCTTCACCACGGCCTTCATGTCGTCCAGCTCCTCCACGGCTGCCCTGGCCTGCTCCAGCGCCTGCCGGCTGCTGCCAGGGGCAAACGGCGCTTCAGCCTTGCCAGGATGCAGACCCAGACCCCGCGCCCCTCGGGAGCCCCTCAGGAGCACCTTCGCAGCTGCGCCTGGAGCTGTGCAATCTCCTCGGCCAGGCGGGCGTTGAGCTCCTCAGCCAGCTCGGCGTCCCGCTGCAGTTTGGCGTTCTGGGCTGCCAGCTGCCGGGTACGGCTCCGCAGCCCCGCGGCCTCGGCGCTGCTGGGGAGTCCCATAGATCCTGGTGTGCTCCTGGGAGCATGGCCAGGGATGGCAGGGTGTCCCCACAGCAGGCACTTACGGGCTGGTGGCGTCCGTGTTGTCACCCTGGAGCTGGGCAGCTGCTGGGGATGCGTGTCCTTCGTCCTCTGCGGGACGGGACACAGTGGGCTGTGTTTGTGTCCCCATTGGGCTGGGTTTGTGTCCCCATCGGGCTGGGTTTGTGTCCCCATCGGAGCTGTGTTTGTGTCCTCATTAGGGCCACCCTGACTCCCTTTTCCTGTGCCAACGCCCACCTGCTGGCACTGCTCCAGTGTCACCAGTGGCCATGTCCTGCTCCTCGGCCCTGCAGGGACGGAGCTGCGGGTCAGCACCACTGACCGGTGTGGCTGGCACCAGGCACCGTGCCCATCTATCTCTGGGCACTGACCCGTCCTGCCGGCACGCTGCGATCCAGGCGCCCATGGCGCTGCGGAACCGGCTCCAGTCCAGCGCCGTGCCCGCGGCTGCGGGGTCCAATGCCCGCTGCAGCGCCCGCAGCCGTCCGTCGTGCCCGCTGTGCCCGGTCATGGCCGCCACGTACTCCACCACCCGCTGCGGCTGCACCAGCCCTGTGCGGATGGACCGAGGGCTCAGGGACCACCAGCTCAGTTTGGTTGCAGCCACTGAGGCCCCAGCGGCTTCGGCTACCTGTACGCTCGGGGTCGCAGGCAGCGAAGGTGCAGTCCAGGGCGAACTCGTCCGAGCAGCCGCTCTCGGCAGGGGCTGAGGGGGGGACACGCGTTATGGAGGGGTCGGAGCCTCGCCCCCCACCCCGCTCCCTCATGGTGCCCGCACCTGGCAGGGGGATGGCGGCGCCCGGGGCGCAGGGAAGCTCTGCAGCCATGGTGTTCAGGGGTGCTCCGGGGCGGTGTCGAGGGTCTCGGGGGGTCCCGGGAGCGCCGCTGAGGGGTTGAGGGGGAGCCGGTGAGGGGGGCGGGAATCGCCTCACGGCGAGGAGAGGGGCGGGGCTTGGCGCGAGCCCTTCCCGCTCAGAGAGAAAGGGGCGTGGTCAGAGGGAAGGGGCGTGGCCCTGCTGCTCCGCGCGCTCCCCGTCCCGTCCCGTCCCGGCGCGCTCCCGGTCCCGTCCCGGTTCCGCTGCTTCCCAACGGCTTTTATTGAAGCACAAAACCCTCCGCGCTTCCCCCCGACACCACCCCGGCCCCCTCAGAGCCCTCGCAGCAGCTTCTCGTAGCGGGAGTCCAGGTTCCGAAGCAGGAACATCGACAGCATCAGCAGGGAGAGCTGGCAGCAGAGATCAGGATCAGCTCCCCCCAATCCCTCGGACCCCTGACTCCCCTCCCGGCCACCCTGAGCCCCCTCCGACCCTTCTGGCCACCCTGAATCCCCTAGGACCCTCCCCTGAACCCTCCCTGGCCCCCCCAGCCCACCCCACCTGTGGTCCCACAGCCTTTCAGCCACCCCCAGCCCCCCCCAGCTCAGCCCCCCGCCCCAGGGCATCCCCCCACAGCCTTCCGAGCACCCCCAACTCAGCCCCCCCACCCCAGGGCATCCCCCCACAGCCCTCCGAACACCCCCCGCCCCAGGGCATCCCCCTACCTCCCCCAGGCCAATGCCGACGCAAGCCCCCACGATGGTGACCAGGTTTCCGGCCAGCCAGCTCTGGACTCTCTCCTTGCAGCCCTGGGGTGACAACTGGGGGGTCACTTGGAGCCCCCCCCGGAGCTCCGGGACCCCCCGATTGCCCCGTGCCTCACCGTGGGGAAGGTGTCCTGGGGGGCGGCTGTGGGGCAGCGGCCGTGGGGGAGCACCCACGGGCTCCCGTGGGTGCTGTTGGGTGCCCTGAGGCAGGAGCAGGCGATGGCTCTGTCCCTGTCCCCATCCCTGGTGGCCTCATCGTGCTGCTCCCAGTCCTGAGGTCCCTTCCACCCACAGCAGCCGAGCTGGGGAGGGGGCAGAGGGTCAGTGTGGTGGCCGAGGGGTGGTCCTGGCCTCCTTTTGGGGGGAGGGCATCTCACCTGCTGCTGGACAGCGTCCCAGCTCTCGTGAGAGTCCCCAGGTGGTCCCTGGGCTGGGTACCCCCGGATCAGCTCCTCGGCGTAGGTGGCCACCTTGGCAGCCAGCTGGGGACAGGGGTCAGCACAGCCTCGCCCCCCGACTCCCGGCGTCGCACCCCGACCCCGGGGTCCCCCCCAGCTGGGACGGGGCCCCCGCACTCACAGTGGCGCGCTGCGTGTAGACGATGATGGCCATGGTGATCTGGGCAGCGAGGAGCAGCAGCAGCAGCCCGAAATACTTTGGGGACAAACGGGGGGGATGGGGGTCAGCCAGACCTGCCCCCCAGCCCCTCCGGGGTCAGCCGGACCTGCCCCCCAGCCCCTCCCCAGCCCCTCCCCAGCCCACAGGGTCGCCCCCTCCCCGCTGCTGTCCCCCCGGTGCAGGATGTGGTGGCACCACGTGTCCCTGCGGTCACCCCAGGAAGTTGCAGCACAGCCACCCTGCACCCTCCCGGTTCCCCGAATCCCCCCGGACCCCCCCGAGCCCCCCGACTCACCATCCCCAGCATGGCCTTGACCTCCTTGAGGGCCCCCAGGCAGCCCAGGAAGCCCAGGAGCATGGTGGCCATGCCGACCCCCGAGAAGCCATAGGAGCAGTGCCTCAGGCTGAGCAGCGGCGACCCTGGGGACACCGAGGGGGGGTCAGGCACCCTCTGGGGGTGCCGCAGCTCTCGGGGTGCCCCCCCGATTTGGGGGTGCCTTACCCAGCACGGCGGCGAAGCTCTGCCGGTCGAACAGGACCCAGAAGCTGAAGGCGAGGAGGAGGACGCCCAGGAACTGGGGGGGAGCCCAGGTCAGGACATGGGGGACCCCCAGTGCCCCCCAGCACCGGGAGGTCCCCCCGGGTCCCCTCAGGTCCCCCCATATCCCCCCTGCCCCCCCCTCCCCCAAGCCCCACTCACGAAGAAGAAGAGGTTGAGAAGGAAGAGGAAGCACTTGGTGCAGCCCAGGCAGCTTTTGGGGCTCATGGCCGCGCTTCGGGGGTCGCACCCGCACGGACCCCAAGCCCACGCCGAGCCCGAACCGTCCCCGGGCCCCGGTTCCCCTCCCGCCCCGCCCGGTGCCGCCGCCTCGGGACCCGCGGGAAGCGCCGGGGACGGCGGAAGCGCCGCGGGGGCGTCGCCCCGGGACCCCCACGGACGGCGGGGGCCGTGACCCCGGTGTGACCCCCGGTGTGACCCCCGGTGTGACTCCCGGGAGCGGGGTCGTGACCCCCGGTGTGACCCCTGGGACCGGGCGGTGACCCCGGGGGTCCCGGGGGGCTGCGGGGGCGGGGCCGAATCCGGGAGGGGGCGGGACCGGACAATGAGTGACGAGCAAAAGGGAGGGGCCTGCACAGGGGGCGTGACCGAGCAATGAGTGACGGGTCATGGGGCGGAGCCTCCCCGGGGGGGACATGGCCTCACATCAGCCCCGCCCCCGATCCGCTCACGTGAGGCAGCGTCCCGGCCCCGCCGGTGTCACGTGACGGCGGCGGGGCCCACGTGTTCCGGGCGCGATGGCGGCGGCGGCGGCTTCGGCCCAGCGGGGCGGCGGCGGAGGCGGAGGAGGCGGCAGCGATCCCGGAGCCGATCCCGGAGCCGGGGCCGGCGGCGGCGAGCCCGCCCCGCCACCAGGGGGCGGCGGTGAGTGGGGGGAGCGGCAGGACCGGCGGCGGGGCGCGGCCTGCGCGGCCCGGGGAGGCGGCGGCGGCGGCAGCCGGCGTCGGTGGGCGGCCCGGTGAGCACCCCGCTGTCCGCAGGGGCCTCCTCGGACCAGATCATGCAGACTGGGGCGATCCTGCTGCGGGCGTGAGTAGGGGAGCGGCGGGAGAACGGGCGGGGCCGGGGGGGACAAGAGGCGGCTTGGGGACACCGCGGGGGGACTTGGGACCGGGAGGGGACTGGGGGGGACACGGGGAGAGCTGGGGACTTGGGACCGGGAGGGGACTGGGGGGGACACGGGGGCGGACTTGGGGACTTGGGACAGGGAGGGGACTGGAGAGGACACGGGGGCGGACTTGGGGACTTGGGACAGGGAGGGGACTCGGGGGGACACCGGGGGAAGTTGGGGGACACAGGAAGGACATGGGACTGGGAAGGGACTTGGGGGGGACACGGGAAGCGGGGAGGACTTGGGACCCGGAGGGGACTGGGGGGACAAGGGGGGGACTTGGGGCACACAGGAAGGACTTGGGACTGGGAAGGGACTGGGGGATAAGGGGGGGACTTAGGATTGGGAGGGGACTGGGGGGGACACAGGGTGAGGGGGGACACGATGGGACTTGGGGAGTAGTGGGGACTTGGGACTGGGAGGGGACTGGGGGGGACACGATGGGAGCTTGGGACTGGGAGGGGACTGGGGAGGTCACAGGGTGAGGGGGGACTTTGGGGACGCAGGGAGGGAGGGAGGGGCACTTGGGACTGGGAGGGAACCTTGGGGAGCTTGTGGGGATTCTGGGGGGACACATAGTGTGGGGGGGAACTCAAAGCTTGGGGCGGGGCTTGAGAGGATGCAGAGCTGTGGGGACACAGGGAGCGAGGGGGGAGTTAGGGAGACACGAGAGGATCCCAGGGGCCTTGAGACGGCCCTGGACACGGGGGTGAGCTGTGACCCTGGGGGGAAGGTGGGACCGAGGGACGGAGGGCCGGGGTCCCCCGGAGCCGGGGGGTCACCCAGAGCACCGGGGGGTCCCAGGTTCGTGCGGGACCGCGTGCAGCGCTGCGGGGACCCCCAGGCCGTGGCGCTGAGCGAGGCCGAGCTGGGCCAGCCCCAGCCCAGCAGCCCCGACACCAAACGCCTCAGCGAGTGCCTGCGCCGCATCGGCGACGAGCTGGACAGCAACATGGAGCTGCAGAGGTGGGCAGCTCTGCTGCTCCCCGGGGGCAAAGCTGGGATTTGGGGGGGGAATCCTGCGGTTCCACCCCCGATGTGGGGGTGGCTGGGGGGCTGGGGTGTCTCGGTGACCCCCCCAGAATGAGCTGACCAGAATTTACTCCCGGCCCTTGTTGTCCCCCCTGCCCACCGTGCCCGGCCCCAGGATGATCGAGCAGGTGGGCTGTGACGCCCCCAAGAAGCTTTTCTTCCGTGTGGCCAGGGAGATGTTCGCCGATGGCACCTTCAACTGGGGCCGCGTGGTCGCCCTCTTCTACTTTGCCTGCAAGCTGGTGCTCAAGGTGGGTGTGGAGCCCCCCCCAAAGGCCTCCCCGGGGCCCTCTGAGCCCCCGGAAGGGCCTTCTCGGCCCCTCTGAGCCCCCTCCTCTGCCCCGGCAGGCTCTGTGCACCAAGGTCCCGGAGCTGGTCCAGACCATCCTGCGCTGGACCATGGAGTATCTGCAGGAGCACGTGCTGGCCTGGATCCAGGCCCAGGGTGGATGGGTGAGACCCCAAAGCCCCCCATTCCTTGGGGGTCTGTGCCCCTGACCCCTCCCTTGTACCCCAACCTCCCCATTCCTCGGGGGGCCGTGCCCCTGTTTGGCAATCTCCCTTCCCCAATGTTCCCTTTTACCCCAAATTTGCCCCAAATTTGCCCCCAAATTACCCCAAATCCTCCATCCCCCCTTTCCCAGCTGCCCTGGGCTGGTTGTTCTAGGGGGGGTGGGGGGACGTTTGGGACCCCCCAGCACAGGGTGCTGACCTCGTCCCCCCTGTGCCCCCCCAGGAAGGGCTCCTGTCCCACTTCGGGACCCCCACCTGGCAGACCATCACCATCTTCGCCGCCGGCGTGCTCACGGCCTCGCTGACCATCTGGAAGATGTCCTAGACTCTGGGGGGGGGGGCCAATTTCTGTCCCCCCCCCGCCCGGGACCCCCCCCCCGGACTGGCCCTGCCGGCAGGGATGGTGCTGACCCCGGGCCCGGGGGGTTTTTAACCAACACCGCTCGCTCACCTGGATTTTGGGGCGGTGGTCGAGCTGGGGGGGACCCTCCCCCCCTCCCCCTTCCCTCCATCCCCCAGACCCCCCCCCAGAGGCCACAGCTGGGATTTGGGGGGCTTTTGGGGGGTCGGGGACCTCCCCAGCCCTGCCCTGCCCTTGGTTTGTGGTGCTTCGAGTGGGGGGGGAAGGGGGGGGGAATCCTGCGGTTCCACCCCTGATGTGGGGGTGGCTGGGGGGGGTGGGGTGTCTCTGTGACCCCCCCAGGGGGGTCGGGGTGTCTCTGTGACCCCCCCAGGATGACCTGGGGGGTGGGGGGGGAGGGTTGGGTTACAGCCATGGCTGTAGGGTGAGTATTTATTGGGGGTCCCCGCCCCCCAAAAAGGGCCCCCCCAGGTGCAATACCCCCCTCCCGGGGCGGGGGCTCTCAGGGTGGGGGGGGGCCACACCCCCTGTTTACACCCCCTCCCCCCCTCCCGGTTTTTGGAGGTCCCCCCGTGTCCCCCACCCCCTCCCACGGTGCTCTCGGCGGTGACGTCACAGGGAACCGCCCCTCCCCAAAATGGGGGGGCCCCCCCCTCTCTGCCCCCCCCGCCCCCAAAATCGCTTTTCTCCATCGTGGATTTTTCTTCTCTTTTTTTGTACCTTGGTTTTTGTATCTCGGGAATTTCCATGGAAATTAAAAAAAAAAAAAGGGGAACGCGGAGCTTCCTGGGCGTGCCCCCCCCCTCGCAAAAAAACCCAAAAAAACCTCGGGGGTCTCGGGGTGTGGTAGGGGAGGGGGGGACAGGAATTTTGGGGGGGGCAGCGCCGCTTTCACTTTCGCTTTTCCCACCTGGCTTGGGGGGGGGGGGCGCCTGCGGGGCCGTTTTGGGGGGGGGGTCAGGGGCCCCTCCCCCTTTTGTCCAACAACATCTCGGGGGTTGGGGGTCCCGCCTGATGGGGGAGGGGTGGGGAAGGGTCCTTACCCCCCACCTTCCCCCCCCTTTCCCCGCAGGGCCATTTGGGGTCCGGGGGGGGGGGGGGGGGGGGGCGTCCCGGGGTTCACTGAGCGGCCATGGGGGGGGGTTGGGGGTGGGGGTCCCACATCTGGACCCTTCCCCACGGGGCCGCGTCCCTCCTGCAGCGCAGCCTCTGGATCTCTGGGGGACAAAAGGATTTTGGGGTGACTTCGGGGGATTGTGGGGGTGATTCCCCCCGGGTGTGGGGGTGACTTCGGGGGGCTTTGGGGGGGTGGTCCCCCCCCGAGTGTGGGGGTGGCTTTGAGGGGGAGGCTCCCAGTTCCCCCCAGTCCCGGGGCGGCGGAAACGCGGAGTCAGCGCTGCCAAGTTCCTCTTTTATGGTCCCGGCGCTGAGTCAGCTCCTTCCGCACCCTACAGCCCGCTAAACTCCGATTAGTGGGAGTCACCCGGCACCCCCCGACCCGCCGGGACACCCCAAAACCGCCCCCCGGCTTCCCCTGTGTCCCCCGACCCACCGGTGAACAGCGGCTCTGCCCCAGCCCCCCAACTCCGATTAACGGGCAACCTGCGCCCCAGCACACCCCAAAACCGCCCCTCGGCTCCTATCCTGTGCCCCCCTGTGCCCCCCCAGCCCCTCCCCAGTCCCCCTGTGCCCCCCAACTGCTCCCCAGCCCCCCCTGTGCCCCCCGACCCACCGGCGAACCGCGGTCTCCCCCAGCCCCCCCTCTCCTGGTCACCCCACTCATGGGGGGCGCACAAGGGTGGGGTGGAACCCCCCCCATCCCCCGACCCCCCCAAAATCCTGCCCAGTCATGCTGACTGCGGGGCCGTGTGACAAACGGGGACAAGGGCCAAGGCCACCCGGGTCCTCCCGGGTGAAAAGGGGGCGGGCGGGGGGCGCGCCCCCTTCTCTCCGCCCCCGCGGCGGGGAAGGGACATAAACCCCCCCCGGCGGACGTTGAGCGGCCACAGCCGCGTTCTCGCTTCAACAGTGCTTGAACGGAACCGGCTGCTCGCGGCTCCGTCCGTCCATCCGTCCGTCCCGCCGCTCCCGAGCCGCTCCGTCCGTCCGTCCGTCCGTCCGGCCGCGCCGCCATGGAGTCCCAGGTCCGCCAGAATTACCACCGCGACTGCGAGGCCGCCGTCAACCGCATGGCCAACATGGAGCTCTACGCCTCCTACGTCTACCTGTCCATGGTAGGGGGGCTCGGGACCCCCGGGGCTTGGGGGACCCCCTTGGTGCGCCCCAAAGTCCCGCCCCGCCCCGCTGATGGCAGGGCGGAATGCCAGGAATTTGAGGGGAGGGGAGAGGTCCTGGGAGGCTCCCCCTGACCTCTCCTCCCTCCCCTAGGGCTTCTACTTCGATAGGGACGACGTGGCTTTGTCGCGACTGTCGCGGTTCTTCCTGGAGCAGTCGCGGGAGGAGCGGGAGCACGCCGAGGGGCTGCTGCGCTTCCAGACCAACCGCGGCGGCCGCGTCCTGCTGCAGGACGTCAAGGTGCGTGTCCGGGGGATCGAGGGGGGCTACGTGGCCCACCTGGGCCCCTCCCGGTGACCGCGGTGCCCCGCAGAAGCCGGAGCGGGACACCTGGGGCTCGGCGCTGGAGGCGGTGGAGGCGGCGCTGCAGCTGGAGAAGTCGGTGAACCAGGCGCTGCTGGAGCTGCACGCCCTGGCTGCCGAGAAGGGAGACCCCCACGTGAGTGAGACCCCCCCGGCTTCGGCCGCCCTCCTCCTCCTCCTCAAGGGTCTGACGCCCCCTCCCCAGCTCCCAGTGCTCCCAGTTCCTCCCTTTTCCCACGGGATCGCCCTGGGGATCCAGAGGGAGGGGGGATCCTGCGGTTCCACCCTCTGATGTGGGGCTGGGGGGGTCGCTGTGACCCCCCCAGAATCACCTGGGGGGGTGGGGGGCACGGTTACAGCCATGGCCGTACGGTGAGTATTTCCTGGGGGTCCTCACCCCCCAAAAAGGGCCCCCCCAGGTGCAATACCCCCCTCCTGGTGCAGAGGCTCTGTCCACCCTCCCTCTCCAAGGGAAGTGTTTGAGATCTCCCGCTGCTCCGGGGTCCCTCACCTCCCCCGGACCCTCGGCCCTGCCTGACCCTCCCGTGTCCCGCAGCTCTGTGACTTCCTGGAGTCGCACTACCTGGACGAGCAGGTGAAGGCCATCAAGGCTCTGGGTGACCACGCCACCAACCTGCGCCGCCTCAACAACGGCGGGGGGGCCTCGAGCGGCCTGGGCGAGTACCTGTTCGACCGCCTGAGCCTGGAGGAGCGCAGCTGAGCCTCCCCGTGCCACCACCGTCCCCCCGAGCCCCCAGACCCTCGTAACCCCTGCCCCAGCCAAGGGGGCCCTGCCTGCTGGGCTCTCCCAGCATGATGCCCATAAAGGGTCTGTCTCTGCCTCCTCTGCTCTTGTCTCCTCTGACATTTTCTCCCCTCCACACAGGGGAATTGGGGTGGTGGGGTTAGTGGGGGCTGGCATGGGGTGGGGAGGTGGCACGGCCCCTTCAGGGATGGGACAAATTTGTAGGAGTTTGGGGCGTTGCTGAGTAGGGAGGTCTGAGGAAAACCAGAAGGGGCTCCTGAGCACAGGAAGGAGAGCCTTGGACTTGAGTGTCTTGGGACAGGTTTAGAGAATGGATCTGGCCATGCTAGGCCAGCCAAAGCCACAGTTCCTTGCAGCTTTGCCCCGTTTGCAAATTAAGGAGGCAGAAGGTGATTTGGGGCCACGGACCCCTGGACACCAACGCTGGATAAGGATATTTTAGGGTTTTTTTTCCCTGGGAAACAAAACTCAGGTTCCTGGTGCCAGTTTGCAGGAGGCGTTTGGCACTGCCAGGGCAAACAGAGTTTTATTTTGCTGCAGCTTTGGTCTGGAAGAAATGGAGTGCCCCATGCTAAGCCTTGCCTCCTCCCCTCAGGCCTCTTCTGCCGTGTCCCCTCCTTCACTCCTCACCCCTACTCAAACTTCCAGCCCATCCCACCCCTGCCCCATCCCTCAGTGCCCCCACCGCCCACCCGTGACTCCCTGCAGGAGGGGAGGGGGCTGCAGGGTGACACCGGAGGCTGAGGGGAGGGGGCTGCAGGGTGACACCAGGGGCAGCTGAGAGGCAGAAGAGGCATTTAGGAGCAAAGGGGGGGCTCCGGGGGCACAGAGACGCTGAGGGGCTGCAGTGGGGAACTTGGGGGTGCCTTGAGGGGCAAAGTGGGGGGTGCCTGAGGGGGACAGGTGAGCCAGCCCTCACACCACCCCTCACCTCACCCTAAAATACCCCTAACCAGGTGGAGAGTGCACGGTGGAGGCCAGGGGGCCAAGGGACAGTGTCGGGGAGCTTGGGGTGGCACACAGACATTGGGGGGGGTTTGGGGTGGCACACAGACATTGGGGGGGTTTGGGGTGGCACACAGACATTGGGGGGAGCTTGGGGTGGCACACAGACATTGTGGGGGGGGTTTGGGGTGGCACACAGACATTGTGGGGGGGGTTTGGGGTGGCACACAGACATTGTGGGGGGTTTGGGGTGGCACACAGACATTGGGGGGGTTTGGGGTGGCACACAGACATTGGGGGGGTTTGGGGTGGCACACAGACATTATGGGGGGGTTTGGGGTGGCACACAGACATTGGGGGGAGCTTGGGGTGGCACACAGACATTGTGGGGGGTTTGGGGTGGCACACAGACATTGTGGGGGGTTTGCGGTGGCACACAGACATTGTGGGGGGGGTTTGGGGTGGCACACAGACATTGTGGGGGGAGGTTGGGGTGGCACACAGACATTGTGGGGGGAGGTTGGGGTGGCACACAGACATTGTGGGGGGGGTTTGGGGTGGCACACAGACATTGTGGGGGGAGCTTGGGGTGGCACACAGACATTGTGGGGGGTTTGGGGTGGCACACAGACATTATGGGGGGGTTTGGGGTGGCACACAGACATTGGGGGGGTTTGCGGTGGCACACAGACATTGGGGGGAGCTTGGGGTGGCACACAGACATTGTGGGGGGGGGTTTGGGGTGGCACACAGACATTGGGGGGAGCTTGGGGTGGCACACAGACATTGGGGGGAGCTTGGGGTGGCACACAGACATTGTGGGGGGTTTGGGGTGGCACACAGACATTGGGGGGGTTTGGGGTGGCACACAGACATTGTGGGGGGGTTTGGGGTGGCACACAGACATTGGGGGGAGCTTGGGGTGGCACACAGACATTGTGGGGGGGGTTGGGGTGGCACACAGACATTGGGGGGAGCTTGGGGTGGCACACGGACATTGTGGGGGGTTTGGGGTGGCACACAGACATTGTGGGGGGTTTGGGGTGGCACACAGACATTGTGGGGGAGGGTTTGGGGTGGCACACAGACATTGTGGGGGGGTTTGGGGTGGCACACAGACATTGTGTGGGGGGTTTGGGGTGGCACACAGACATTGTGGGGGAGGGTTTGGGGTGGCACACAGACATTGTGGGGGGGTTTGGGGTGGCACACAGACATTGTGGGGGGTTTGGGGTGGCACACAGACATTGGGGGGGGGTTTGGGGTGGCACACAGACATTGTGGGGGGGTTTGGGGTGGCACACAGACATTGTGGGGGGGTTTGGGGTGGCACACAGACGTTGCGGGCTGAGGGGCAAAGGGGGGGGGGCTGGACCAGCAGAGAGCTGACACTGAGGGTTAGGGGGGCAAAGGACACAGGGTACCAGGTAGGGTTGGGGTACAGGTGCAGCCCTCAGGGTGGGACAGCCCCAGAACTCTCCCAGCAGGTGCAGGCAATTACCCCAATTAATAGGTAGAGATGATGTTTGGAGGCTACAGAGTTACAGGTAAGGGTTGAACAGTTTTTAGGGTTTTTTTTAGTTTTTTTCAGGGCTTTTAAAGGCTATTTTAGGGATTTTTTTTTTTTCAGGAGTTTTTTAGGAATTCTCTGGGAATGTTTAGGATACCTTTAGAGCTTTTTCAGAGTTACAACAGAATTATTTTATGGTATTTTAAGGGCTGTCTTACTACTACTTGGAATTTTTAGGGGTGGTTTTGGGTATTCTTGGGACTTATTTAGGAAGACTTAAAAGTTTCTCGGGCTTTTAGAGGAGTGTTGAGGGTATATGGAGGACATTTTAAGGACTTTGGTATTTCTAAGGTTTTGAGGGGAATTTTTTAGGGTTTTTTTTAGAGTCTTATCAGGGCATTTTAAAGATTTAAGGGGTATTCTTAGAGCTCTTTTAGGATTATTTAAGGATTTTTTAAAGGTTCGTTGAGGATTTTCAGGGGTGTTATAGGGGCTTTTTAAAAGTAGGGTATTTTTAGTGTATTTTGAGGCTATTTTTAGGTTTCTGTGGGGTGTTTAGGACACTTTGAAAACTAGGGCTTGTAAGGTAATTGATAGGATTTTTTTAGGGTCCTTTCAGGGCATGACAGAGGCTGAGGGGCAAAGGAGAGGGGTCAAGGGTGACACACAGGAGCTGAGGGGCAGCTGAAGGGGCCTTGGGGGGGCTTGAGGGTGACAGACAGAGCCTGAGGGCTGCTTGGCAAAAGGAAAAGGGCTCAGGTTGGTGTTTGGGGGCCTGTGGCCTGGAGGGGCCAGCTGCCTCTTGAAATTCCACAATACACAGGATGCTTCCCCGACCCAAGCTGGCACCAGTGCCAACTCGGGCTGCTTTGACAGTGCCAAGTGTCTCCTGCAATCTACCATCAGGAAACTGGGGTAGTTAGTTTTGTTTGCCAGGGAAAAGGGTCAGCGCTGGTGTTCAGGGGCCCGTGGCCCAGAGCGGCCGGCTGCACGCTGAAAATTGGTCATTGTGCCGGATGTCTCCCAGACCCAAGCTGCCACCACTGCAGAGTCAGACTGCTTTGTCAGTCTTAAGTGCTTCCTGCAAACCTTCCCCAGCTGTTCCTCATTGTTAAGGATTTTGATTGAGGGAAAATGTTCTCTTTTTTCGTTGCTGGAGGGATTTAAATTGAGGAGAACCCTTCTTTTCACAATATTTTTGGAGAATAAATTAAAGGGCAGAATTGGTTTATTTGCCATTTTATCAGTTTCAGTGGAGCTAACTGCCCCGGTTTCTCATTTTTACGGGTTCACTTGAAAGAAGCTCTTTTTCAGCATTTTAAGGATTTTAATATTAATTTCTGGGCACTCCTTCTGTGCCTTTGGACCAGCTATCTCAGAGAAGGGTGAACCTGGCATGTACTTAACCATTATGCTGCCCAGGAGATTTCTTGTTTTCTTATTTTTGTTTATAACGTAGATAGGCCGAATTAGGAGTCCCAAGGAGACTTACACTATTTACATCATTAGTATTCTTCTCCACCCTACTAGGTCACATGTGATATGCTACTTAGTGATCACTAAAGAATAATTATATAAGTTAACAGCAAATTACCCAATTTATCTAGCTGTGATACCTAAACACAAAGTTTTATGTCTTACCAGTTTTCTGCCCTTTTACTCCAAGTAGTTGTTGCAAAAAAGAAAGTGCTGTTATTTTTCTGAAGAGTTTTCTTCTATAACAAGCCCTTTGCTCCCCTTGAACTTGAGTCAGAGGAGCCAAACAGCTGCAACTACTCTGAGGGCTTTCATACCCGGTGGGATTCGCCCCCTCCCTTTTCCCAGGTGCCACGGATACGAGAGGCGGGCACCATCAGGGGTATATTAACCCCAGCCTTTGCTCAGGGCCTTCATTCCTTCTCTGGGATGTGCTGGGATCAGAGCTCTCCTCTCATTTCAGGTAAGAGGCTCTTTCAGCTTATCTCAGCTTGTTTTCAGTAGGTGTTTCTGGGCATCTAAAGCAACAGAGGCTTTGAAGATACTGTGAAGAAAACAGCCTGGAATACAGGGAGTATTTAAGTTCACAGTTTTGGGTTTTGTGTTTAGGGGTAGTGAAGTGCATTTGTAATTTCTGGTTTTGTTCTTATTTTGTTTTTTGTTTGTTTTTTTTTTATTTAGGAGGAGCGCAGCTTCCAGTGACTCCAGGTTGTGTCAACTACAACACTTTTTTCAGCAGATTCATCGTGTCACAAGAGGGATCTGCCCAGTGTCCAAGATGATGTTTGAGATTGAGGCTTCAGGTGAGTTGAGGATTGTGACTGGGAGAGGGAGGCTGAGCAGGTATCCAGTTAGGAGTTATTGTTGGGGAGGTGGTTTTGAAGGCAGCAGGGTGAGAAAGGGTGTTTATTTGAGCCCCCTACCCAAGGCCTTTTAGAAGCCGAGCAGAGGCATTCACACGTCTTACAGCACACAAGGGCATCCACTGCACTCACAGGAATGCCATTTCACTTTGCCTTTCTCTAATCCAGGTGCCACTCATAATAATGGCCACAGCCTTGGAATCAGGATGAAGCTGGAGCCTGAAGGAGCCAGGCACACTCAGGAGAGGGCAAGTATCTGACTCGCCGGGATTTGGCCCACACAACCCTGT